GGTATCTTTAACCGCTAGATAATTTCCTTCAAGCCCAAAGAAAATAGGAAAATGTTTTTCTTGTTTTGATTTGGTTACAAAAAAATAGTAAGTTAAATTTAAAAAAACTTCTGCAAATATGTTCGTTTAAAAAACGCGGGGAAGTTTACTGACACCTATAGGAAGAATGCGGAAACATTTAGATGCAAATAATTGTTGATATTGCCCACAGTTTTAGAGGAAGTTAGATTTCCTGCGGCTAGAGATCAGAGTGGACGATACCGTCAGTTCTAAGAGCGGGCACAGACAATATAGCTTATCGCTACAGACCGCGCTTTAATGAGGTATATCGGAGTCCGAGAGAAATGAGGAGCGCAGGGGGGGTCCCTTGCTTTTCTTATGGGAGTAAAACCCGCTGCCAATTTGAAAAAATTAAATTCTATTGAAATTATTTGCGATAAACATTATCTATATAGGAAAGAAATCTACTCATATGCACATAGCATACATATCGACTAATTAACAACATAAAATTATCATACTTAAGTAGTTTTAAATTATATTTAATGAACGCATAAAGACCATGTAGATGTGGCAACAGCGCTAATAATTGACTAGCAGTTGTACACACTGCGAACCTACAGACCTCGGACATCGGAGATATTGCGCGTCAAATTAGGGTAAAGATGCGTACGCGTTCAAAAATGTATCGTGTGTAAACTATGTACAATATAATTATTATATATAGCAAATATATCGTATTATCCTCGCGAAGATTTGTATCCTTTATTTAAAATCCGTCAATCATGTGAACTGGTAAAACAACGAGAATTATGTTAATTTAGTTCTAAAGAAATGAAATGACACTCGCGCTCATCTCTCGTCCAAGTCGAAGAAAATGTTGGATGCAATTTTGAAGGTTCTGTGATAGAAATTACATTATTACTCGCTGTTCGTGTTTTTAATCTATATTTTAGTAATGTTACAAAAGTTTTGCAACTATAACTAATTTTTTATTATAGATACAAAGTTTACTGAGATATGAAACTTATCTTTTGTTTGGAAATCACATTTGTGATCAATGCTAAATAAACTAAATCAAATCAGAATTAAAACTATGAATTTACCTGATTAATTATTTGTTTTATATCACCTTGGAACGGGAGAATTCAAAGACTTGAAATTAATGCTTTTAGATTTGTGCGTCGACTTCCAATTTGGTACGATATTAACACCTATGTTTAAAAAAATCGCATCATACAGCTTGTCCTTATATCCTTAGATGGGTACTGCTCTCTTATTGTTGATTTCTTTAGACAGGTAAAATAATTATTGACACAAGTGTTGCATATCATGCATGCCATTGGTAGTGCTCATATTTGTGACACAAGGCGTTCAAAAAAATTAACACGATGTAAAATTGCTGGAACATCAGGGAGTAGTTGAATACGAATTTTAATTAAATCGATTTTCTAAATTTGACCTTGAACTGACCTTAAACCAGAGCTAATCGCGTCAAACGGACACCGGATTCGGATTCAGCGATCCCAAAAACGTATAGACACGTAGGTTTAGTTTGTTGACAATTGATTTTCGACATTTGACCTTGAACTGACCTTGAACCAGAGCTAATCGCGTCAAACGGACACCGGATTCGGATTCGGCGCCTCCAAAAACGTATAGACACGTAGGTTTAGTTTGTTGACAATTGATTTTCGACATTTGACATTGAACTGACCTTGAACCAGAGCTAATCGCGTCAAACGNCCACTGGGTAAGACAGACATTATTAAAACTCAAACATTAAAAATGGTATATTTGACCGCGAGGTAATTTCCTTCAAGCCCAAAGAAAATAGGAATATGTTTTTCTTGTTTTGATTTGGTTACAAAAAATAATAGGTTAAATTTAAAAAAAACTTCTGCAAATCAAAATTATTTATGTTCGTTTAAAAAACGCGGGGGAAGTTTACTGACACCTATAGGAAGAATGTGGAAACATTTACATGCAGATAGTTGTTGATATTGCCCACAGTTTTAGAGGAAGTTAGATTTCCTACGGCTAGAGATCAGAGTGGGCGATACCGTCAGTTCTAAGAGCGGGTACAGACAATATAGCTTATCGCTACAGACCGCGCTTTAATGAGGTATATCGGAGTCCGAGAGAGTGAGGAGCGCAGGAGGGGTCCTATGCTTTGTAGATATGGCAACAGCGCTAATAATTGACTAGCAGTTGTTTGTACACACTGCGACCCTACAGACCTCGGACATCGAAATGCGTGCTAAAGATGCGTACGCGTTCATAAATGTATTGTGTGTAAACTATGTACAATATAATTATTATATACATATAGCAAATATATCGTATTATCCTCGCGAAGATTTGTATCCTTTATTTAAAATCCGTAAATCATGTGAACTGGTAAAACAACGAGAATTATGTTAATTTAGTTCTAAAGAAATGAAATGACACTCGCGCCCATCTCGTCCAAGTCAAAGAAAATGTTGGATGCAATTTTGAAGGTTCTGTGATAGAAATTACATTATTACTCACTGTTCGTGTTTTTAATCTCTATTTTAGTAATGTTACAAAAGTTTTGCAACTATAACTAATTTTTTAGATATAAAGTTTGCTGAGAAATATTTAT